GGTTCGATACTACCAGCTCTCTCATGGGAGAAAGATGAGGCTTTATGCTCCCATGAATTTTTGTAGCCAGGAAAACACTGTAATGATCTCTATGTGTTGGACCCAACTCCTTGACACTTAATGATACACCTATATAGATCTGGAGTTTGGTGTGGCATTCTGGGTTAATTGTACAGACTGCAAAGCTGTTTGAAATGCAAAATTGGCGGTTGAGGCTCACCAGCTGCTCCTCAACAAACCAAAACAGGGTCTTATATAAGGACCTCATGTTGCATAAAGGTTCAGAATCGGGCTGTGAATCTCATTGTGGGTCAGCAGTTCGAAGCTACCAGTCCTTCAATGGGAGAAAGATGAGGCTTTCTGCTCCAGTGAATGTTTATTGCCTCAGAAACCCTGTATAGGATCTCTGTGTGTCGGAACCAACTCCATGACACATAACAATACATATATATATATACACACACACATGTATATGTTGGTGTCGGTGTTGTTATGTGCCATGGAGTCGGTTCTGACTCATAGTGACCCTGTACATGGTTTCCAAGGCTTTAAATCTTTACTGGAGCAGAATGCCTCATCTTTCTCCTGTGGAACAGCTGGTAATTTCAAATTGCTGACCTTGTGCTTCGCAGCCCAATTCGTAACCACTACGCTACCAGAGCTCCATATATATATTCGGAGTTGGGTGTGCCTCTGTGGGGGGTTAATTGGCCAGACTGAAAAGCTGTTTGTACTATAAAATTGGCGGTTCAGACTCACCAGCTGCACCTCGGAATCCCTATACAGGCTCTTATATAAGGAGCTCTGGTGGCATAGAGGTTAGGAATTGGTCTTTGAACCTCACTGAGGGTCAGCAGTTCGAAACTACCAGCTGTTCCATGTGAGAAAGATGAGGCTTTCTGCTTCCGTAAAGATTTACATCCTCAGAAATTCTGTACAGGGTCTCTATGGGTCAGAACCGACTCCATGGCATATATAGAGAGAGAAAGAGAGGGGGAGAGGGAAAGAGGGGGTGAGGGAGAGGGAGATATATTCAGAGTCCTCATGTTGTGCTGTGGGTTAATGCACCAGACTCCAAAGCCATTTTAACTGCAAAGTTGGCATTTCGAGCTCATCAGTTGCTCCTCAGAAACAGTGTTGTTATTGTTGTGTGCTGTGGAGTCATGTATGACCCATAGCACCTTGTACAGGGTTTCTGTGGCTATAAATCTTTATGGGAGCAGAAAGCCTCATCTTTCTCCCATGGAGTGGCTGGTGGATTCAAACTGCTGACCTTAAGATTCACAGCCTATTCATAACTGCTATGCTACCAGAGTTCGTTTTATACACAGACACACACATATGTTGATATGTGGCATGGAATTGGTTCCGACTAATAGAGATCCTGTACAGGGTTTCCAAGGGTATAAAAATTGATGGGTGTAGAAAGCCTCATCTTTCTCCCATGAAAGAGCTGGCAGTACCGAACTGCTGACTGTGAGGTTCGTAGCCAGATTCTAAGAATGATACTGAGGGATTCGTTAGCTGACTTTATAAAGAATCAGTGAATTTCAAGACTGGTCAATAGAAATTACTCAAACTGAAACACACAGAGAAAAAAAGAATTAAATGAAAGAAACAAAATGAAACACAGCACAAAGAACTATGGGGCAACATCAAACGGTCCTAAGAAATGGTAAGTGGGATCTCAGGAGAGAAAAAAAAAAGAAGAAGGCAGACAAAATATTAATGAAATAATGGCTGGGGACTTCCCCAAATTAATGACAAACATCCAAACACAGATCCAAAAAGTTAAGCAGGAAAAAAACAAAAAACACCCTCAGACATAGCATACTCAAATTGAGGAAAACCAAAGACAAAGACAATATTTGAAGGCAGATAGAAAGAAAAGAAAGAAGAGTCATTACATACAGAGAATGTAAAGATAAGAAATATAGGCGACTCGTCTTAAGATAAAATATGTAATCCAGAAGACAATGGCATAATGACATAAAGTACTGTGGGGTGGGGGGGGGGATCAATCCAGCATTCTATACTCAGCGAAAACATCTAAATATGAAGGAAATATAAAGATATAATGATGATCTTGACCTATGTTTGTGGATGCAGTATGACAAAGGAGCAGACAAATCTCTACAGTAAGGATCATTCCACCCCTCTTGGTACACAGAATCGACAGGGAGGGGGAACTTAGACATTGGCTACTACCCAAAATGGGGGACTACAAAGGCAAGGAATGACTGGCTTAGAAGCTTTCAACAGGTAACCTAGCTCCAGAGGATACAGTGAAAGATAGAACCTCCACTGAATTGTTTCCAACCTGTCTGGATGGGGTTGATAAAAGATGAGGGAGAAAGGACTCCTGTGGTTCAACAGGGAATGACTGACATCAGGTCTGACAGTGAGTGTTGGAAAGGTAAATGTCAATGTTTGCTAACAAAAGGAGGGGAGTAGCTGATTTTTCAGTCCAGGAGCGGAGATCCCTGGAACCATCAAGGGAGAAAAGTGAAGTGCAAGACTGTGTCCAGAGTGACACTAGGGATGGAGGCAGAGGCAGTGACGAGGACAGAAGGAGTGACTGGGGACTCTGGACTCAGGGAGGAAGAGCAGTTGTGTGCTGGTGGGGGGCTGGGGGGCAGCGGATTGTGATCATTGTGTTAAAACAAAGTAAAAGTACAAAAATTTAAAGATAATGTTCACCCATGTAAACTAACATAATTCACAATAAAAATTAACAACAACAACAACAAAAAGAGTTGGGGGTGAGGGAGAAAGAGTCCCCACTGAATGGTTTTCATCTTGTCTGGATGGGTCTGGTGAAAAGAGATGGGAATAAAATTTGTATGATTCAACAGTTAATAATTGTTATCATGACTAATTAGGACTGTCACAATTGTAAAGGTAGTTTTGTAACAAAAACAGGGGAGTGGAAAAAAAAAAAGTCTTTTAAATGTTTAAATGGGGCTGTTCTAGGAATAAAGGTAATTGGAAAGTGCTGGAATATGCCCAACCCTGTGCCTGCCCCCAACTGTCATTGAGTCGCTTCGGACTCACATTGTTGTTGTTAAGTGCTGTTGAGCTGGTTCCAACTCATAGTGGTCCTGTATAGGGTTTCCGAGGGGCGGCTGGTGAGCTTGAACCCCAACCTTATGGTTCAAGTCAACCTTGAGGTTGCCACACCAGGATAGCAACCCTATGTAGTGTTTCTGAGACTGTAGATCTTTTTGAAAGCAGGAAAAAAAAAGCCTCATCTTTTTCTTGTGGAGCAACTGGTGAGTTTGAAACTCCAACCTTGTGGTTAGCAGCCCAGTGCCTAACTCATAGCCCCACAAGGCTCCTTGGAATATGACCAACACATCATAAAATGTTTTGAAACCCAGTAGGAAAAGGAGAATTTAATTTAAAAAAAAAAAAAAAAAAAAAAAAAACTGGAAATGGGGTTATGGTCATACTTAGTAGGTCTTGGGAGTAAATAAAGCACAAAATGTCAGAGACAGTTGCATTCGGCAAATCAGCTACACAAGACCACTTTAAAGTGTTCAAGAACATGGAGATCAGTTTGAGGACTAAGTGTGCCTGACCCAAGCCATGATATTTTCAGTAACCTCATAGGCATGTGAAAGTTGGGCAGTGAATAAGGAAGACCGTAGAAGAATTGATGCATTTGAGTTATGGTGCTGGAGGAGAATATTAAAGGTATTATGGGCTGCCAAAAGATCAAACAGATCTATCTGTGTTGGATGAAGTACAGCCAGAGTGCTCCCTGGAATCCAGGATGACCAGACTTTATCTCTCATACTTCGGATATGTTGTCAAGAAGGACCAGTCCCTGGAGAAGGATATCATGTTTGGCAAGGTGGAGGGTCAGAGAAAAAGAGAAAGACCCTCCCCCCCCCAATGAAATGGATTGACATAATGGTGGCAGCAATGGACTCAGGTGTAGCAAAGATTGTGAGGTTGGCATGGGACTGGGCAGTATTTCATTCTGTTGTGCTTAGGGTTGCTATGAGTCAGTATCGACTTGATGGTACCTAATAACAACAACAACAAATATCAAACAGTGATAGATTTAAGGAATAAACTAGAACAATATAGAAAGTGATGGCAGGGGTAAACATTGAAGATCATGTAGTAAAGGAAGTTTTCTCCAAAAAGATGGCCTGAGTGAGGTTGGGCAGTACTGGCAGTACAGGGTATCTGGGTGTGTTCCTGACAAAAATCCATGTGACTGATTCAATATTGCTGTGTGGAAAGAGCTTTTTAGTGGGGTGTCAGGAGCTATGTTGCAAACAATCATATAAAGTAGCCAAAGATGTTGCTACGTGCAACAGAGTCAGTTTGAACTCATAGTGACTTTGAATAGGTTTCCTACGGCTTTAAATCTCTGAAGGAGCAGAAAGTCTCATCTTTCTGTTGAGGAGCTGGTGGTGGGCTTGAACCACTGACCTTGTGGTTCCAAGTCCAGTGCTTTATCTTATAGCTTTATTAAATTACCCACCATCCCTTCTCAGAGGACTCAGGAGGGAAAGATTTCTATCTGGTCTCAGTGTCAGAAATAATCTGTCATGTACTGAGACCAAAATGTAATAATAGTTATCAGGGGCACGTGGGATGGTGCCCCCCAAAATTATGTGTTGCAAATCCTCACCTTTATGATATAGGAGCCCCAGTGGCAGTGTAGGATAGGCACTGGACTGCTGACCACAGCATTCAGAGGTCAGTCCCCTCAAGAAAAAGATGATGCTTTCTGCTCCTATAAAGATTCACAGCCCCATTCACAGAAACCCTATACAGGGTCGCTATGAGTCTAAATCAACTCAGTGGCAGTGAGTCTGGATTTTTGGTTTTATACAAGGAGCTCTGGTAGTGTAGTGGTTACTAATCGGGCTGCTAAGAGAAAGATGAGGCTTTCTGCTCCTGTAAAGATTCACAGCCTAGGAAACCTTGTACAGGGTCGCTATAAGTGGGAACTCTAGGGCACTTAACAACAACAACCTATGGTTATAATCCCAAATGGAAATGGGTTTTCTTTGTGATGTTAATGAACCCGCATTTGTGTAACAGGAGGAACATTCCTTTCTGAGAGGAAAAAGAGCACATTAAGCAAGCAAGAGAGAAAGCACAGATGTTCTGTGGTCTCCAAGGAACAAGAAACAGAAAATGAGAGACAAGGACCTTCCTCCAATAGAGAAATAGGAAGTCTTCCCCCGAATTGGTAGTATAGAGGTTACTAGTCGGCTGCTAACCTGAAGGTCAGCAGTTCGAAAC